CCCCAAAACCCCAAAACCCCAAAACCCCAAAACCCCATTTTGACTGTAAATTTTTGAAATAATAATGGAGTATAAGCAGAAGACATTTGAAGCTCTCTCAGAAATTAAGTCTGAGCTGGAGTCTTCGTGTTCGGGTAATTTTTGGGTGGGATTTGAGCTGTTGGGGCTAAATTTGTGGGGGATTAGTAGTTTAGAGAGGATTATGTTCACATAAATGTGGGGAAGTCAGAAAATTGTTGATTAAGAGGTAGATTTGTTGCATCTGTGCATTGGGATTAATTAATTGAAGATAGAAGTCGGTATATTTGTGCATGTGGTATTTCCTTTTCTTCTGATTTGCCTTTTTGTTGAGATTTTATATCAAAAGCAGCTTATAATGTTGATCTCTGAGATTCTTTATACATTTTAGCTTCTCAAAGAGAATAAGCTGTCTAAATTTATAATAATTATTAACTAGCTTATATCATACTCATTTTGTGCTTAAAACTTTCTAAATTATTTTACAGATAATCAATTTTGACAGTTCTTCTTCTAAATTTTCAGGATATTTTCAGGACTTCATTTCTAAAATCACTCTGTAAAACTATTGTATTCTCTGTTTTTTAACTAACTATTAACATTTGCCTTCAGAATTGGTTTTCAAAAACCAAAATACTTCTTGTGATGTCTGACTTATATAATTTTAGCAAAAAGTATTCAGATTCATAACAGTTCCAGAAGACGAATAAAATCCAGAAAAGATTTCCCCTCTCAGCATATAGGTAATAACCCCCTACTAATTCCATAGATCACGAAGCATCAAGTAATAACTCCCACAGCAGCACCGACCCAAGTACCCACTGTCCCTCCTCTAACCCTCTACAGAGAAAGCCACTATCCTTTCATCATCCTTCGACGGCTCCTCCTTCTGCATGGACGACCCATTCTTGTAAGCCAGTCTCTACCAAGAAGGCCTCCATCTCCCGCCTAAAGTCCTTAGCCAACATCAACTACTCTAGTACAGCCCCCTTAATCTTTAGTGAAGAAGACCACAAATAAGGTTTAGTACTGGGCGAGAAATTTAGACTAAGACTGATAAAGGGAATATACGTAAGCTTGTGAAGGAACGGATTCAAGAGGTAGGTATGGGGAATGGGCAGGGTTTGGAGGAGGGTGGAGTGATGGGTTTAGGCAGAGAAGGCTCATTATCAGAGAGGGTATACAGGGGGGAGGAAGGTAGAAGGGATTAAGGAGAAATTGACTAGTATGTGTGTTTTTGATGGTTTAGATACCCTGTTTTCGAGGAAATCTGTGTTAGATATGGTATCGGAAGGAGGTCTTGATGATCTCAGGGATTTGAAGAGTAGATTTCAGGTTCAACAAAATTTTGATGATTGTAAGATTTAATGATTAAGGTTACTTAGCTGTTAATGATTCTGTTGATCCCTCAGTTCCAGAAACAATAACAGTTGAAACCGATCCTTCTGCTTTTATAAATGATGGTAAGTTCTCTTCTAAGGTGTGCAGATTTGGAAGATCTTTGAGAAGACTTGATATATTATATCAGAAGAGGTATGTATCAATTTATTATGAATGCATGATATAGGCTCCGTTAATGAATCCCTCAATGACAAGGTAATAGAATTGCTAGAAGAATGCAAGATTCATCCAAATGAGGAGATTAAAAATAATGGAAACACATTAATGCACTTTAGTGCTGAGCATGGAAATATTCATATCTTGAAGTATTCTTTATTCATAATTTCTAGGCATCTTACTAAAAGAGGAGGATCTCCTTATGTTGTCAATCAGAAAGGGGAAGGAATAATGCACTTGGCTTGAAGGGAGGGGCATCTTGAGTACCTTAAATACATTGTGAGTACCTATCAAATGGATGTTGATCAAACAATGAATGACTTTTGGACCCCTATCTTTTACGCTAGCTTGAACAACCACATTGGAGTCATTGAATACCTAATCTCTTTAAATGCAGACATAAATCATGTTGATAAATTTCTGAGAACCCCAATGCATTGGGCAACAAAGTCTAGAGCTCCAGATGCAGTAAAGATCCTTCTACACAAAGGATCAAAATGGGATTGCAAAGATGTAGAAGGGAAAAAGCCTGAGGAACTCAACCAAGGATATGAAGAAATCGAAGAAATTTACCTCAACTTTGAGACTGAAAGACAACTGAAGCTAAAGAAACAATTAAGGAACATACGTGCAATGGAGAATGCAAAGAAGAAGGCGAATGCGCTTTCTTCACAAGGGAAATAAGCCTCCCAATATTGACAAACATTCAATTATGAACCAGTTGAATGGGGTTTTGGGGTTTTGGGGTTTTGGGGTTTTGGGG